TATCAATGAAATGATACGCAACTTTGCGTATTCACGAAAAAGGAAGAAGCAAAGAACTAACAATTCAGTTGAGATGAAGTGTGCTGATCTTTCAGCTGCAGTGAAGGTCAAGAGGCACCAGTGTAATGCCTGTGGGAAGTCATTTGGGTCAGGGGCAGCGTTGGGAGGCCACATGAGGTGTCACCTTCCTAGATTCAATGATCGCCGTCATGGGTTCGCCGAAAGCCCTGATTCTGTCATGATGTAAGAGCAAAAGCAGAAGCTTGAATTGGACACCAAGTTTCTTGATCTCCGACTTCCAGGTCTCACTGACATCACTATTTTCTCAGGCTTGAAATCTGAACCTGAGCCGTGGCGTGTTGCAAGCAGTGTTCACTGAGCAAATGCCGATGCACACTGTTCTCTGAACTGCTACAGTCACTTCACTTTTGTGTATAGTCAATCAGCCTGATAGCAAAAACTCCAATTCGTCCATTTGTAAATAGTCACAAGCTTTGCACTGATCCTTCTCTTTACTGGCAAATTTTCCTGGACAGTGAGGGCCAAGGATCGTATGCAGTTGCTTGGTTGCTGCACAGTACATCACCATTGCTCAGTTGAATGCACAAGCATGAGATTGTGTCTTCTAGCACTAACTAATGATCTGGAATTGCCTAAATACCGTGTACTTTTTCCTTGCACACTTGTGTTTCTGTAAATATTCATATCTTGAAATGGTTCTTCAATAAAAGAGTAGCTGGTCAGAATTTTTTTCAGTCTGTTATTTTTTTGTTCTGACGGCTTTTGGATGTGGCATAAGGAAATAAATAAATAATCACTGCTATTGTCACTATAGTGGCACTACATGGCATGCATTATGTCATTGGTTTTTGTGTTCAACTGGTTTCTTGTGAATGAGGCATTCTGCCATGCTCCCTGGACTGAGAAAATCTGGATTTGCAGTTGTTTGTGTCAAGTTTGCATTTCCTTGATGTGGTTTGCTGCAGTTTCTCTATCTTCCCCCTTTTTTTGTTGTTTCTTGCTGAAACTCTGCCTGTGTGCAGCTGATGGTAAGAGCAGTGATTCTGCTGTCCCTAATTTGGTTCAGGTCATGGACTGCAGTGCACGGTGAATGCATGTCTGATGTTCCAGTTCCCAAATAGACTAACTGTATTTGAATATTTTCAAACACAGAGATCTTCCGCGATGGATTTGTCAATGCGCACAGATCCATTTCTTCCTTCGTAATCGCAAGAGTGTTGAGCGTGCTGTGGCATGTGTGATTTCGGATCCATTTCATGTTCTTTTTGATGTTCCAGTGTGTTAAGCTTAATGCACTAGGCTGCACTACGAAAAGTCCGAACTAATTGCAATTGCAAGGGCTAGACAATCCATATATACTCCCTCCATTTCTAAATACTAGATGATCAGTTGCGCCAAATGGCGCAGAGACCCATTTAAAACCATGCACGTGTTGAAAATATGCAATTTTTTTCCAGTAACTTTATGTTTGAGCAAGTGCACGGACCATGTCAAACCCAAGTGTTTTGCAAATATTTGAATTCATTAGAAGTAGGTTTTAGTAAACAC